CTGAGCTTTGCAGCCCAGAGCGGAGGAAGGGCCCAGGCGGCGGGCGCCCCCTTGGCCAGCCCCCTAGATCTGCCCTGCGGGAATGGGTGGAGGAGGTACCCGTGCGGGAGGAGGCGCTGGCCGAAGCTCAGGCAGGGGCGGGGAGGGGTACGGTGACCTTAGAGTCGCCGCCCCGTTGCGGGCTGACCCGGCCGCTACGCTCAACCTGCCGCCCCGCTTACCCCGCAGGGCTGCCGGGACCTCGAGGGGAGCCCGGGCCGCGAGGAGAGGCGGGACCCGCGGGGCCCACCGGGCCTGCAGGGGAGTGCTCGGTGCCTCCGCGATCCGCCTTCAGCGCCAAGCGCTCCGAGAGCCGGCTGCCTCCGCCGTCTGATGCTCCCCTGCCCTTCGACCGCGTGCTGGTGAACGAGCAGGGACATTACGACGCCGTCACCGGCAAGTTCACCTGCCAGGTGCCTGGGGTCTACTACTTCGCCGTCCATGCCACTGTCTACCGGGCCAGCCTGCAGTTTGATCTGGTGAAGAACGGCGAATCCATTGCCTCTTTCTTCCAGTTTTTCGGGGGTTGGCCCAAGCCAGCCTCGCTCTCCGGGGGCGCCATGGTGAGGCTGGAGCCCGAGGACCAAGTGTGGGTGCAGGTGGGTGTGGGTGACTACATTGGCATCTATGCCAGCATCAAGACAGACAGCACCTTCTCCGGATTTCTGGTGTACTCTGACTGGCACAGTTCCCCAGTCTTCGCTTAATGCCACTGCAAAGTGGGCTCACGCTCACTCCTAGGAGGAGGGTGTGACGCTGACAACCAGGTCATCCAGGAGGGCTGGCCCCCCTGGAATATTGTGAATGACTAGGGAGGTGGGGTAGGGGCCTCTCCGTCCTGCCGCTGGCAAGGAATGGGGACAGTGGCTGTCTGCAATCAGGTATGGCAGCATGGGGCAGTGACTGGATTTCTGCCCAAGACCAGAGGAGTGTGCTGTGCTGGCAAGTGTGAGTCCCCCAGTTGCTCTGGCCCAGGAGCCCATGGTGGGGTGCTCTCTTCCTGGTCCTCTGCTTCTCTGGATCCTCCTCACCCCCTCCTGCGCACGGGGCCGGCCCTTTACTGAGATCACTCAATAAATCTAAGAACACTCCTACTGGCTCCAGCCTTTCTTCTTTAGTGGTGGGGGTTCTGTTTCTGGGATCACGGTGTGGAGGGGGTGCTCAGGCAGAAGGGAGGGTTCTTGGATGAAATAGAGATATGGGACAGATATACAGGAAGCCGGCCCAGGGGAATGAGAGGCTGCTCCACAGAGCCGCCACCTAGGTTGTGAATAGGAGTGTCTGACAGCGGGATGCCCTCCTGGTGTAGGGCTCCAGCTACCCTTAAGAAAGGGGGTACCTTTTTCTAATTCAAAGATGTCAACTAAACCACATAGGGGCTGCCTGCACCACACATGCCCCTGCCCTGATCCAACAAAAAAGAGCCGAGGACTTTGGTCTATGACTGCCCTCGCTGCTTGCCTGGTCCCCAGATGACTGGAAAGCTATTGCTCTGTAACCCGAGTGAGTGGCCTCCCTGGGCGTCTAGAGATAAGTAGTTTCTGAGATGACCACAAGGGGGTGCCCTGGCCCCAGAACGCCGCAGGGATACTGGGAAGCTTGAGCTCCTGACTATGGGTGGTGAGGGGGAGGAGGGGTATTGAGGTCGGCCAAAGGAATTCCAGATGCAGATGGAAGAAAAGGGAGTCCTTTACTCCCAACTCAGGAAGTTTATCTTCTATCATAAAATGTTTATCCCCACATTAAACAGAGACTGGAAGGAGCCGGGCCTCCCCTTGCTCAGCTCCCTGTCCCGGATTGAGGGAAGGAAAGAGCAAGGGCCAAGCCCTCCCTAAGCCTCCCAGTTCTGAGGTGGAGATGAGGAGCCCTCCCCCACTGCTCTGGGCATAGCCTGGGTGGGCCGAGCCACTGTGTCTGAGGCTAGCCACAAAGCCCCTCAAGGCTCCCCCACCCGGGGGCCCACCTCCAACCCAATGACTAACAAACCAGGGCTGCCCAGCCCCATCTGCACAGCCTCAACCCAAGGAAGGGGGGCCTCTCCTCAGAGTTCTTCCTGAGCTCCCGGCGCCCCCTTCCTGAAGGCAGTCCCAGGCACTGTGGTCCCAGACAGAACATACAATTATGGGGGAGTGCCCCTGCTCTTCCGCTGGTCATGTGAGGGCAGATACGGCCAATGGGGACTGAGCCCAAATGTGAGCTAGAGACAGGCCTCAGGCAGCCTCCATCAGGAGGTCCCACAGCCACACTCCAACCCAGCCCTGCACCAGACCCCATGCTAAGACACACAGGGACACACACCAGCTCCTCCTGGGATCCGAGGGTAAGACCGGACTCCAGGCAGCAGGAACCCCATGCTCCCTCCCAGGAAGACTGGCCGGGGGAGGAGCTGGGAAGGCTGACTCAAGGGGTGAGATGGTTCACATTCCTCTCTACAAGGGCTTAATTTGGGCAAAAATAGAAAAAATACAGAAGGCTTTTCGAAAGCCACGTGTGCAAGGGGACAAATCAGAAGGGATGACAGCTCACACAGCCACGCCTGGCATGCTCTCTCCCCATGACACAGTCTTCCCAGCCTATCTTAGCTCCTTCCCCGTCTCCTCCGTTAAAGCCCAGGTACTCCCGCAACCCACACTTCTGACTCCGGCAGGGCTGAAGGACCCTGATGCAGGGTCTGTTGCCTTGACCAACTGCTCCCTTGCAGGGACGCACAAGAGACTGTCAGAGCTGTCAAGATAACTTTATTCATAGGAAACTGGGCCAGAGACCCCTCAGGAAGCTGCAAGCCCCTGGGCCCTGGCCCCTTCTGTATTTGGACCCTAGTGAACTGTGCACAGTCTGCCCTCTCCAATGCCAGGGAGAGACAGAGAGGAATGCCATTTTTCTGTGTGATGTGGGAGTGGAAGGGGAATGAGCAGAAATCTGGTTATCCCTCCTGAGACTTGCAGTGAGCTGGGGTGCCAGAGAGCACATGGTCCCAAAGTCAGGTGCAGATGCATCCCCCATCCCAGGGGTAAACTCGTGAGCCCAGCTTTTGGATCAGGTTGGGAGGGAGCCTCATCAGACGATGACAGGCAGAGGTGGCTCTGAGGGTACCTGAGAGATACTAACCCCAAAGCCTACCAGGGCACAGGGGCTCTGGCTGAACACAAAGGTTCAAGATCATCCGAAGGCCCCTGAGTTGCCAAAACACTCAAATAACACTGATATGTTGTGGCCACAAAAGCTGGGGAGGAAATGTGAAGGAGGCAGGAGAAGGACCTACAGATCTCCAACAGAAAAACCAGAAGCAGAGAAGGGTAACCCCAGACGCAGCTGGGTGGGCCCTGGGCAAGCTGGACGAGAGCCCACAGCAAACAGTCTCAAGGCCCTTGCATAGTGACATACTCACCAAACTCAGCATCGAAGGGACCCACTGGGTAAGGAGAAGCTATGTTATCCTGCCCCCACCCAGATCATAGTCTTCCATCTCAATGTCCAGGATGTATGGCTTGGAGACTTGGCAGGACAGCCACAGGGGTAGGAGGGATTCAGACCAGGACCCGGAGATGCGGTGTTAATGCTGTCCTAGCGTGAGTGCCTGCGTGGAGCGTGGAGGGGTGGGCAGGTAGGGAAGGAGTCTTCAGAGGTAGACATTGAGGGTCTGCAGGATGCCCCGGCGGCACAGCGGGCAGTTGCGGTGGTAGACGGGGTGGCGCATCAAGATTTCAGTGCAGGCCTGGCACAGGCACAGATGCCTGCAGGGCAGGAGCAACACCGTCTTGCTCTGGTCCTGGCAGATGACACACTTCTTCCGCTCCTCTTGCTCCTTCAGCAACTTCCACGGGTCTTGCCCGCCTGGAGGCTCTTCATCGTTGAGCCTCTCTCGGCCCCTGGCAGATGTCGCTCTGATGGTCCTGGCCTCCTCCTCTTCTGCCTCTGATCTGCGCCCCGCTTCAGGAAAAGTGTCCTGTCTCCGGGTCCTAACTGAGAACACCCTCATAGGGTCACCCTGGGGGGCTCCAGGTGCCCCTCCGCGGTTCGGCCAACTTGCCAGCTGCAGGCTGCGGCTCCAGACTCGGCGCCAGGCCTCTGAGCCCAGTGCTAGGCGAGAGAGCCGCATGACATCCTCTCGAAGACGGTGGTAGGATGGCCGGGCATGGAGCTGGCTGAGTGCCTGGGTAGCCAGTCTCAGGGTCAAGTCCGGATGCAATACAGTCACCGTCACTGCCAGCACACAAGCTAGCAACACCAGGCCAGTGAGATTGACAAGCACAAAGCTGGCCAGGAGGCGGGCAGCTGAGGCCAGCAGCTCCAGGGCTAGTTGGCAGGGTGTCCAAAGGAGGATGGCCATGGCCACAGCACTGCTGGAAATGTGGGCTAGGAAGGCAGCCACTACATCCGTCATCCTCCACAGAGGCCCGGTCACTGTATCCCACAGGGCCAGCACCAGGGAAAAGAGGTTCTGAGTGCTGATGAGGCAGATGTTGACCAGGCTGTTGATCACATAAGCCACCAGGCTCATGGCAATGGCACAGATGTCACAGGCCTGGCGCAGCAAAGCATGGCCATTGGAGACCACACTGAGGACGCCCCGGTGCAGTATTTCCCTGCTCCGCAGTGCCCCGTGAGAGGCCAGGTGCCCCAGGAGCTTTAGGCTCTCCAGGCCAGAGCAGCAGCTATAGAGCAGGGTACACAAGGCCTGCAAGCCCCCACATGTGAACCGGACCACGGCTTCGATCAAGGCCAGCAATGAAAGCAGGACTCCGCGGCCCAAGTGCAGAAGACTAGTCAGTACCGTGTGCGGCAGGTTGTAGACGAAGGCCAGGAGCCAGGCCAGGGAAGCCAGGAGGGAAGATACCAGCAGAAAGTTGAGGTCCAACACCAAGGTCAGCACGTCCAGCACCAGGCCCACCCCATTCACTACCAGGTACACTGCCTCCATGATAGGGCTATGGAGGTTAGTCCAAAAGAAAGTCTGGCTCCTCGGTTGTGGGGTTGTCAAGGTTGTCAATATTTTAGGGGGTCTGGGATTAATTTGGAAGGAAAATGAGCGGTCTCCAACACAGGGGGTACCAAGAATCTGAGGAAGAAGTGGGTAAGAGGGAAGAGGAGTCTTGGTAGAGGGAAAGGGGGCCAGGTGCCAGTCCAAGAGTCCAGGTTTTGAAGATGGGCTGTTTGGGAGGGAAGAGCCCAAACATCTCCAAAGCGAAGGCGAGCCCAGGCCGTAGGAGCGACCTCAGCTTTGGATGCCTGGTGTGGCGAACCACGGCCGGGCAATGGGTCAGACCGGGAGGAGACGGGGAACGGATGGAATGGGATCGGATTGGATCGGATCGGGTCGGGTCGGGTCGGGTCGGGCCGGGGCCGGGTGGGGTCGACGCAAGCTGGGCGCGGGCTCGCAGTCCAGCTACGCAGGTGCCCCTGTCCCCGCCCGGCCCCCGTCCTCCCGTTAGTGGCGCTTTGCACCCAAAAGGGGAGTGGGAGAGGCAACCAGCTTCAGCAAACCCCAAGCGCAGCCCCTACTCCGCTGGGCGCCGCCATCTTGTGTGCAAAGGGGTGGAGCCAGAGGGATGACGAGGAGGGAGGGACGACAAACTCCAGCCAATCGGTGAGGGCCAACCGCAACAACGTCAATCACTCATTGGTCCGTTTGAATGGCGCCCGAACGTATTTACTTTCCAAAGGGAAGGAGCGGCGACAGATTAAATCCCCTCCCCCTTGAGGCGGGGATTGGCTCGTTGACGGGCAGCGTCGGAATACGTTCTCCTAGCCCCGCCCTCTAAAAGAGCAAGGCCTTGGACTCCCCTTAATTTGGGAGCTGTTCTTTCTCTCGGCCTCTGAACGCGAGCTGTTTTTTTTGGCTTGGGTCCGAGGTCACTGCCTCTGGGCTGGGCTTTGGAATAGCACCTCCTTCGCAGCCTGTTCAGATCCGTCTCCTCATTCTCCTCTATTTATTCATCTATTCTATCATTTGTTGAGCTCCTACAGTGCATTGAGGATACAAAAAATTTTAAGACAGTGCCTGAGGTTCACAAGGGAAAGCGGATTATTACAGGGGATTCCCAAACTGCTACTCCAAACTTTCAGCACCAGGTTTTTCAACATCTTGGAAGATTACTTCATTGTCATTGAGAAAAGGTGGCTACAGATTTCGAAACAGCTCAGCTTCCTACCCTGGGCCTTCCTACCCTAGAGTGCAGTGGCGCGATCTCGGCTCACTGCAACCTCTGCCTCCTGGGTTCAAGCGATTCTCTCCTGCTTCAGCCTCCCGGGTAGTACAGGCGCCCACCACCTCACCCGGCTAATTTTTGTATTTTTAGTAGAGACGGGGTTTCACCATGTTGGCCAGGCTGGCCTCCAGCTCCTGAACCTCGTGATCCACGCACCTCGGCCTCCCGAAGTGCTGAGATTACAGGCGTCAGCCACCAAGCCTGGCCCTGCCCTTTTCTTTAATACTCAAACAATAGTCAAAATATATTTGAAACCCCATCCCAAATATATTGGGAATCCTGGGATTTTCTACTAACTCCAAGGATACTTAGCGGACTCCTAGAGGACTTATCTTTCCCCTGGTTACCTTTGCTGAATTTCCTACTTGGGTTAAATTCTCCATCTCCACTCCTGGGCTCCTCAAATTGTCCATCCCCCTTCACTCTGCCCTGAACACTGCCTCGGAATCCTTCATTCTCCAAAGCATCACTGATAAGAAGTTGAGGTGTGCAGCAAACCTTTACTGAGGCCGTGGGGTCGTGGTAGGGGCTACGCTACGGTGCAGAGGAAGGACTGCAGGCGCTGAAACTCCTCTGGCTTCTTCCTACCCTTTCTCTCTCGCTGCTCTCAGGCCCTGCCCAGGTTATGGTTTGTTGTGTTGTGATGTGTTGCTGATGTTTTTATTTTCCCACTTGCATCCTCCTGCCAGTGTCAAATCTTGGAGAATGTGCCCACTTCCCTTTCAAGACACTTGATCCCATCACCCGTACCATCTCCTCTTCAGGGATCTTACTTGTCCAGTGAACACTGTGTTGTTATTAATCAATCTTCCTGCAGCACTTGACGCCACTGACCACTTCCTGCCTCAGAGGCATTACCCTTTCCTATATTCTTTCTGTTTCCATCATAGCCTCCTCTCCTGTATACACAATGATTTCTAAATTTGTGTCTTCAGCCTGAACCTGTCCTGCAAAGTTCAGGCTCCAGCTGCTTCCTGGACATGAAGAGTTCCTGGGTATCCCACTGGTGCTTCCTACTCATTATGTCCAAAGTCAAACCTGGCAAACGTGCTGTGCCTGCACTATGTGCAATTAACTGGCCAGTTTTCCACACCAAGAAGCATGTAAAGGCCTTCTCAGAGTTGGCAGGATCCTCTAAGAGAGTATTTCCATTTGTTTAGTACCAAGACCTCCCCTTTGAGTGATCTGAGACTCACTAATGCAAAGCCATCTTTAATGAGCCACAACCCTTGACTCCCAGGAAACCTAGCAGGTAATCCTGCTTTGGGCAGGGACAAACACTCCAACTAGCTTTAGGGAGGAAGTTCAAATTGTTTGACAATGTTAGTCCCAGGGATTGAGAAGAAAATAAGCCAGATATTGAGAAAGCTGAACACCTTGAAGCTCTATGCTTGCAGTATTTTCTAATGGAAGATGCAGTCTAAAGCCCTCTGGAAGCCTGCTCTGGCGGTAGTTGATTTACGCTGAGCAAAACAAAAACAAAACAAAACAAAACAAACCCTGCAGTTTTGTTTTGTTTTGCTCAGCGTAAGATTCTAGCTGGGACAATAGAAGGGATTTTCAGAGACTATGAGGATTGAGGATTAAGAGATTGGAAAAACCAGAAAAGAATGTCTAATTCAGGGCTTTTGTTTTGTGCTATTGTGTGTATTATGGCCCTCCCCATCGTCTCCTCATCAATCATTCAGTAAAATCTATATTATTGCCATGGTTTTAGGCTGGTCTTTTATATTTTCTTTTTTAATTATGCAAATTAAAAAAGAGTCCCAAAAGTCAAAACTTTATAAAAAGATATAGTCACAGAAGGTTTGCTTTCATCCTTGTACTCTCTACCCTGTTCCCTCCCAGTGCCACCCAAGCTTCAGAGGACCCCAAGTATTACAAACATAGCCAAAAATGTCTCCATAAAGGAGCACCTGGGGTCCTCTGTCAGTCAGGATCCAGTGTTCGTTACTGGTATGGAAAAGCCTATAACCCCAAACATCAGCTCTGCAAACAACACGGTTCAGGGCCGAAGAAGCTCTTCAGCAATTCTGCACATCTTTTTTTTTTTTTTTTTTTTTTTTGAGACAGTCTTGCTCTGTCACCCAGGCTGGAGTGCAGTGGCACGAGCTCAGCTTACTGCAACCTCCACCTCCCAGGCTCAAGTGCTTCTTGTGCCTCAGTCTCCCTCAGTAGCTGGGACTACAGGCATGCACCACCACACCCAGCTAACTTTTGTATTTTTAGTAGAGACGGGGTTTCGCCATGTTGGCCAGGCCAGTCTTGAACTCCTGGCCTCAAGCGATCTGCCCACCTCAGCTTCCCAAAGTGCTGGGATTACAGGCCTGAGCCACCGTGCCAGCTCTGTCCTACACATCTTACAAGAAGAAGAAAGTGGGGGGGGAGAGAGAGAGAGAGAGAGAGAGACAGAGAAAAGAAAAGAAAGAAAGAAAAGAAAAGAAATTAACGTGGTTTGTGCAATGTGGCTAAGGAACATTTTTCAATATTAATACCTATTTCTCTTTAAATTTGCATATATGTAAATCTAGAGAAACACGCATGTGTATTTAACTAGCTACATTCTAGTTTTGACTTAAGGAAAAACTAGTTTTCCCTAGTTTTGCACTAAGGAAAAAACCTACTTACAATTTTAGTCTTTGATTTAAAAGATTATCAAGGGCAAGTCTGATAACAGCAATGACATGGTTAGTAAAGATAATAAAGATGAACAAGCCAGGATTTTGGCCAAAAATCTAGAAGCATTTTTTTGATGATATGTCCCCTGTGTGGCACATAGTTGAACTAGTTATTAGAAGACACAGCCTAATTGTGCTGAGAATAATGGCATCTTTGAAAAACTAAAAACATCATATGCAATATTCTGGATGTGCCCAAAGATGAAATATCTTGGAAAAAACTATATCACAATTGACCATACAACTACTCTTGGATACATGATGGGAATGCTGGCTAAATGCTGTTAAAACAAGTCGATTTAATTTAGACAAGAAACTAGAAGGGCTGGGCACTATGGCTCACACCTGTTTTTCATCCACACTTGGGGAGGCCAAGGTGGGTGGATCAGTTGAGCCCAGGAGTGCAAGACCAACCTGGGCAACATGGTGAAACCCTGTCTCTACTAAAAATACAAAATATTAGCTGGGCGTGGTGGCATGTGCCTATAGTCCCAGCTACTTGGGAAGCTGAGGTGGGAGAATCACCTGAATTTGGGAAGTCGAGGCTGCAGTGAGCTGTGATCGCACCGCTTTACTCCAGCCTGGGCAACAGGTTTGAGACCCTGGAAAGGAAGGAAGGAAGGAAGGAAGGAAGGAAGGAAGGAAGGAAGGAAGGAAGGAGGGAAGGAGGGAAGGAGGGAAGGA